ATCTTGGGAAGTGTTCTTGTTTATTTCACCCATGCTGAAAAAAATGGGGTTCAAGTGGTAATTGATTTCTCCACAGTCGAAATTAGATTTATATCTTTATATTTCAGTGCTAAATTTTAATTTTTATTTCTATACATGTGAATATATAATTAATGGTGAGTGACTAGTGACGTCCACATGTTGGTCTCTTTGTATAATTAACTTTTTCTAGCGATGTTTGTATTATAAGACAGTACGTACATGCGGCTAACCTGTGAATATGTTTGGACTTTTGTTGCATTTAATTTTCCCAGATTGGGCACTTGAAAAAGGGGATAAATCCACCATCGTATTCTGAACTGGCATTTAGCTCGCAGTATCTTACAACTGCCATTAAGACTGGTATCGTCACTGGTGTCATCGCCATGGCTGTAAGTGCAATATGTCTACAATTGTTAAAAAAAATAAATTAATTTACTTTTTATAAACGACATATTTGTCTGTCATACTAATTTGGATTCGGTCTTAGACTTTCTGATTTATATGAGATTCTCATGACCTCATTCTATCGTTTGTAAGAGACTTGGGTCAAAAAGATTAGAAAAGAAAAAAATAGACGGGAATAAATGTTCATAAATTATGCATGAAGAAACTATACTTCTTGTGTCGGTGTCATAACACACGGCAATATATTGGTGACTCGTAGACTACAACTAGCAGCTTTTAGTTTCCAGAAAGGCATTTTTTAATTAAGGAATTAAGTAACTATATACATAAATTTATTCTTACATTATTTTATTGGTGTAGATAAGTTAAACTCTTTAAATTATTCTTTGTGCTTTTTTAGATTTTGAATTTATATAAATATATTATATGTCTCACACACCAACTTGTTAGGGACTAAGAATTAAGTGGTCGTTTTTGTTGTATATATATCACACATGAAGGAATAGCAGTTGGAAGGAGTTGGCGTATATTGTTTATTAGTTACCTATTTTAACCGATGAAATTAAACAATACAGGAAGGAATAGCAGTTGGAAGGAGTTTCGCCATAGTGGAGAACTATCACATTGATGGAAACAAAGAAATGATTGCCTTTGGGATGATGAACATTGCTGGTTCTTGCACCTCTTGCTACTTAACCACAGGTACTCTTTCACCAAAAATTAACCATCTCTTGGCCCAATCCACGACATGTTAAAAAGAAACACAAAGCCCAGTCCAAAGCCATTACCAAGCCCATAACATTTCCCCCCACAATTTCCCTCGTCAACTAGGATTGTTTTTTTTTTTCCGAACAAGTAACCTAAATAGCAGTCCACTCAATTACTTAAACTAAAACTAGTCGGCTAATGTATAGTATATATATAACCATGTATTATCAGTGTATAATTTATATATACCGGCTAGAAAAAGTAAACAGTGAAACTGGCCGGCTACTTGTGTAAAAGATGCTATTTTTTTCCTTCAAGTTTTTAGGAATGGGAGTGGACAATTGAAAACATAATTAAGTAAATAAGAATTTGCTTTTTAGTAGCTTAAATTTGTAGATGAGATGGTCATATAATTTAGCATGATAAGTGATCATGAGTTCTACGTCTTACCACCACACATTACGAGAATTTTCGCGCATTTGGCCTATGAAAAAAGAATTAGGCTCGCACATCTTAAGACATTCTTGAATTTAGTTGTCTGCTTGCGTAATATTTCTTCTAATATTACCATGTTTTTTTTTCCTTTAATTTTTCAGGACCATTTTCACGTACGGCAGTGAATTTCAATGCAGGATGCAAGACAGCAGCGTCCAACATAGTAATGGCAACAGCAGTGATGATAACATTGTTGTTGCTAACACCATTGTTCCATTACACACCCCTTGTTGTGCTTTCCTCCATTATAATTTCAGCCATGCTAGGCATCATTGACTACAATGCTGCTATCCACCTTTGGAAAGTTGACAAATACGATTTCCTCGTTTGCATTTGTTCCTTCATTGGAGTGGTCTTTAGTAGCGTTGAAGTTGGCCTAATAGTCGCGGTAAGTAGCATAGCATACATTTTTAATATGCAATGCACTGACAATGTAAAATCTTTCTGCACTCTCAGTGTAAAACTATGTTTTCGTGTGTGATTCAGGTGGCAATGTCTTTACTTAGGATACTTCTCTTTGTAGCAAGACCAAAGACATTTGTCTTAGGTAAAATACCTAACTCCATGACCTACAGAAACACTGAACAATATTCAGCAGCAAGCAGAGTTCCTGGAGTTCTCATCATACACATTGATGCCCCAATCTATTTTGCAAATGCAAGTTATTTGAGGGAAAGGTAACTAAAACACCCCCATTTTCATCTCAATTATATTTAGTGACGACGTCGGCACAATAGTTAGTCAGGGGTTCTTGATGAATCTTAGGATTTCAAGATGGATAGAAGAAGAAGAAGAAGAAGAAGAAGAAGAGAAGCAAAGGACTTCAACTGAGATTGAGCTGCAATATGTCATATTGGATATGAGTGGTAAGTGTTAATTTGATTTTTTTTTTTTTATAGTTAATGTTTTACCACTGACATTAATCTTCTTAAATGCAGCTGTCGGAAACATTGATACAAGTGGAATTAGTATGCTTGAGGAAGTGAAGAGAAATGCAGATAGACGATGCCTAAAGGTACAAATATTTACAATTTTCCAGCAAATTAGTAGTAGTGATGAAGAGTACTAATTCTATTGTTCAATTTGTAGCTTGTATTGGCAAACCCTGGAGGGGAGGTGATGAAGAAGCTGGATAAGTCAAATTTCATCGACAAAATTGGGAAGGAATGGATCTATTTAACAGTTGGGGAGGCTGTTAATGCATGCAATTATATTCTTCACACTTGCAAGTTTCAATCCGAGAGAATTGAATCTTCAACAATCCCAGACGATAACGTATGATCATAACTCAGATCAATGATCCAATTAAAATAATCAAAATGTATTAGTATTCCTTTTCTCTCTACAGTTTCACCAAGTGAAACATCTTAGAGCTAGTTTCTTACCCTTTTACAATTTTGTCAAATTCATATCTGTGCTAAGGTATTGAAAATTGCTATAATGTTTCACCTCTACTATTTTATTCTCTTCTCCAACAGAAAAATTGCTCATCTTCAGATAAAGTAATTGCGCAAGTTCTTGCAACTCCACAAAAATAATAAAAGGTCTAAAATCAATGACTTTGGTAATTGCACATTTCAAGTCCTATGCATCACTTTTAGGAACCAAAAAAAAATGATGCAATTATATAATAAATGCATTGAAACTCAGCTTAAATCGGGCTTTAGTCGGAACTAGAAAACTTTCAGCTTTTTCTTTACCAAATAGATGATCTATTCTCTATCAATTTGGACGTCGATCCCTGAAATTCTTCGAACAAATGTGCTCATCTAGAAAATACATGAAAGTATCACAAGTTATAATTTTTAATATTTAAAAGTAATTTCAAAATGTATGCAAGATTATAATCAAAGAAAAGAGTAATCTAACTGAAACAGGAGTACTAGTATTTTAACCAGTCAAAAAGACACATACTGTTTAAGAAATTTGCCATTATAGAAATGCATAGTTTTCTGAAAAACATTTCTACAAGGACATAGAAATGCTATCTGGAACTGTCCATGTAATGTTGTTTAGCAGAAGAGGAACCCTAGAAGCAGAATGAACTATACAATTCTAGTGTAGGGTTGTGTAAAAGGAAGCCGGTACACTAATCTTCCGTTATGCAATTCAAGGAAAAGCCGGACCACATTGGGGAGATTGCTGGAACACCTCTAAAGATTTAACCCTCATCAAGTACTTATTCCTGAAGCCTTNACCAATAAGCCTAAAAAAAATTCCAGTTAAAGAGTCCTACAAGAGGAAAAAGGAAATATACAAAGCTGAGAGGAAGTTCAAAAGTGGCAGGATAACAGTAATGAACATTGTGAGAAACCAAGATAAGGTAACACCACCAACATTACTTCTAGCCAGGCAAATATACAAGAGTCATTTCGAAAACGGTTGGAAAAATTACTTTAAGAGTATTAACCAAAACTCACTGCTGCACAAAACAGCCAAACAATGTGAAAGTGAAATGAGAATAAACGAAGCATGCAACACTAGGAAATTCTAATCTACTATAAGAAATCTTCAAAAATAACTGATATCTTGACAGCTGACAAAACCCTCACCAATTTAAGGATAAGCAGGAACTCCGGAGCACTCTGACAGCATGCCCGTATTGCCCCCGTCCAAGGAGAATATAGACCCCAATGCAAGGAAACTTAAAATCAGGTGCTTGCTTCTCCTCATCGATAATAAGCCCATTTTCTCCCATGTAAGATTCCCAAAAAGCTGACCCAAGATATGGAACTGCAATAGCCGCGACTATACTTGCTTGAATATACGAGGAAGAAGTTCATGTGCGCTAATATCCAAAGGCACTGGATCTCTGAAGATGATTGAAGATTGAGTTTAGGAGCTAACTCAAGGTTATATGCCTCAACTTGAAAAAATACATTCCATAGAATAACAAACATATGCACATACTTAAAACTATATATAAGAAGCTCTATTTGCTTGACTAACATAAACAACAACAACCCAGTATAATCCCACTAGTGGGGTCTGGGAAGGGTAGTGTGTACGCAGACCTTACCCCTACCTCGGGGTAGAGAGGTTGTTTCCGATAGACCCTCGACTCCCTCCCTCCAAGAACTCCCCACCTTGCTCTTGGGGTGACTCGAACTCACAACCTCTTGGTTGGAAGTAGAGGATGCTCACCACTAGAGCAACTCAACCTCTTTGCTTGACTAGCATGATTATCCAAAAAGATCTCATTATTCAAATAGATATCAATTTATAAATTAACTAAAAGAAGTTGCTAAACTTTTACGCATTTTTCCAAGTTTTGCTTAATCCTAGGATACTAGGAAAAGTTTAGATGGATGGCTGCCCAAGTCATGAAAGATAAGAGTTATCCTGAAATGTTCACAGCTTCACAGGCTGGAATTCCAGAAATGCACATTCAGTTGAATTGCTATTTTGTTGTCTCAATAAATATCACATCTCAAGAGGTCCATACTTGATGTACAAGACTGTATGACTTGTAAGCTATTACCCTTTTTAGCACTTGATAAGTTGGTGCTTACTTATATATGCTATGAAAAGAATAATCGTGTTTGTTATGTATTTTATTAAAGATAGAATGAGGTGACATCCACTTTTTATGTATGTGTCTTGTGCTTTGGCTAAGAGAAAGGGAAACATACCTGCATAAGATTTTTCCTTTCTCAGTGGAGCTAGGGATAAACCACAACTTCCGTACTAAAGGTGATTCAAATTGGACAAAAAATCCATCATTTAGTCCATGCTTCCATTTCCTCGATCCTTGACCTTTCCAGACCTGTAAGATCACACATTGAAATCATGATTCATGAAAGAACAGATCAATTGCAATAACTGCTGATAAAAACAATACTACAAGATTTCAATGTTGCCTCTGGTTCGCATCAGACACTAACTTGAAACTAAATCATCATCTGTCAGGATCACCTTTAACTCACTCTCCAAGAGATACAAGTCAACTTCATTCTGTTTTCAAATTCCTTTGGCCAGTGTTTGTCTGAACCAGACTAAAGATGCTAATAGAACAAAGCACAAATTAAAGGCGAAGCTACGAAGGTCAGTAGTCAGTACATTTGTGTTTGAAATTCAAGCTTTCTGCTCTAGGTTTTAAGTAGTAGAATGGAAGCATAGAACCAACATCCAATATTCATCAATAATCTTTGAGATTCAGGAAAGCATAGAGCAAACCCAAAGCAGTTGACATAATTACAGTCACTAACAGATTTCTTTTTGACCTGACAAGGCTTCTAACAGAACTTATACGCAGAACTAGGATGCTTCTTGTAATACATAGAAAGATCAATTATTGGTTAATTCGAACAAGCTTATAACCAATTTATGCCTTTCAGTGTGTGAATCCATAAGAAAAGCCATTTTTAAGAGGGTTATCTGTGTTCTTACAAGCAATTGCCTCTTTCGAGAGAGCATTCAGTGATTGAATTTACCTGTGGGTAAGATATGATACTTTTCGGTGTCACTAAACATGAAGCTTGAGAGAAAGAATCTTCAGCATACTGTCGAAGAAATGGAAAACAACTGCTGTGCATATGGGGTGACTCAAAAGCCTAGCACATGAGATAAAAAGTACACAATTAGATAGTATAAACTCTATTCCAACTGCAACTGACAATGTAACCTACAACTGACAAATTGAATTCAGAAATATCAGAGGAAGGCCGAAATTGTTGGAAAAATATCCATGAGGAGAACTTTTCAATCAGTAAGAATATGAAGTACCTTGTCTATATTAACAGCTGGGGCATACTTCTCCGTGTCGGTCTTCTCCTTGTTCAGAAGGAAATAAACTCTAGGATCCACATTTGAAGTTTCATGCCATGACTTAACAGCATTCTCTACTGTTTCAACAAGAAAAGAGAAAATCTCTTTACTGCCGTCTTCAGCTCCATATTTCTCAGACTGCAAAAAGTAGCATCAAACTTAGTACATCTCATGCGGAAACTTCGTGAGAAAAACATTTTCCAGAATTCGATTTAGGGCTATATCACACAGCTGCTGATGCAACAAGTTCCTTACCTGCATGAGGAGAATAGATTTTACGTCAACGCTTGCATGAACAAAAAATACCATATGACCAAAACCATAGTTAAAAAGTGCATCAGCAATCATAGAATGGAAAATACATCAGAGCTCCAATAAACATTCTGAAACAGATATATGTCTCTAGAAATAGATGCAGAAGACCACTAACCAGTTCAGGTTTCAACATATCAAAATATTTTGCCATGTCAACATTGGATCTCATGTTCTCCAGTTCTTCAGCTCGCTTCTTATCTTTTGCCAACTGCGCAAGTGTCTTTATCTTCTTGGATACTTCTAAACTTTGTGGATTGTATTTTGATGCCATCTGGAAAGCAGCTAAGGCCTACATCAAGATAATAAACATCAACACTGGAACATGAAAAAGTTTTCCGATTAAGAGGAAAAATTTTATACATACATCATCATAGCGTTCCATAGCCTCTAGTATACATCCTTTCCTGAAATAACCCTACAAATGCAATCAAGTCATTTTATTACGAGAATAACTTCGCTAGATAACAAGTTCACATTGTTTCCTGCTCGTGGTGTATGATCTTTTTTTCTTATTACAGAGTGTTCGTGAAAGATTCCAAATTCTGGAAGTATACCTTTTCCCACTCTGGTTTCAGACTGAGCGTCATTTCGGCATCAGCAAGTGCTTTGCTAAGTTTAACCAGATGCAAAAATGCTGCAGCACGATTGCTATACATAGTTGAATTAAGTGAAAAACATATCAGGAACAAGAGTCAGTTTCACAAAGTCCATAGAATTAGAAAGCAAATTCTGACCACAACAAACAATCACAAAGACCCATTAAAAGTAAGTCATATAGATAGAATTATGATTTTTACTTAGGGCTTGTTTGGTTGGAGTCATTGGAAAAATAATTACAACATAAAATCCCGCATAAAATTATACCATGTTTGATTATAGGGGATTAGAAAAAATAATCCTTGCATAATGTATGCAGTGTTTGGTTTGTCGTATAAGAAAAACTAATGTCTACATAGTTTTATGTAGTGTTTGGTTGACGATATTAATTATAATACTTGCATTAAGTTATACCGGAATCTATGTCATATTTTATGTGGGATAAAATGTGAAATAAGCATACATGTATTAACAATACAGGGATTAAACACTTAGAGAAAAAATATCCTTAATGTAAGCAATTCTTGTATGACAATCCTTTCAGTATTCTTCATCGTAAAACAATTAATCCCTTCATTATTAATCACCTTATAACAAATCCCTTCATTATCAATCACCTCATAAACAATCTGCGCATTATAATTCTCGCACAACTAGCATGTGAATCAAACGATCCCTTAATAGCAATTACAAACCTTCCACTTGGTAGCATTTTATTAATTAAATATCAGTAGTATGTTTGAGGGGGAAAATATTATGCTCATACAAAATTCTTAGTAAGGCAAGAATACGTAGAGGGAAGACGTAAAAGAATCTGAAACACAATAACCTAGCAGAAGATTAAGAATTGCTGGTGACAAATCTAGCATTCACTATATAAACTTCCACCCTAATTAGGACTTAGCTTTTTCATATTAAGAATTAGGACTTCGTTTTTTTACTCTATTAGAGTTCCTTTTGCGGCAATATGATAGATAAAGGAGCTAAAAAAGAAGAGGTAAACCTAAATTCACCCGGAAGGAAGTTCCTCAATGGACCTAAATCATTCATAAACCATGAGAAGTTAGCTATTAACTTAGCTAAGAACGTAACAAAACAGAAAGAAAAACCACACTGGTGATATAAGCTAGTTGAAATTAAGGTTTAGCTGTTTTACACTTACCACTAGATATAGACATATAGTGGTTGCTAGGATTCCTTTTAGACTGGTTAGACTTGTATGTCAACGTAAGGAGTAAGTGGTAGACTTGTTCTGATTAACAGTGTTCTTGATGCTCTACCCACTTACACTATGGCCTTTTTTTTCCCCTGCCTGTCTCTATCTCTAAGAAACTGGACAAAAGGGATTGTCTTTGGGAAGGAAACAATGAAAGAAAGGCTTTTCACCTGGTCAAATGGAGCACAATTATCCTTAGCAAAAAAGCAGGGGGCTTGGTGTCAGAGATTTGAAGGCACACAATAAAAGCTTGTTGTGTAAATGGTTATGGAGGTTTAATGCTGAAGAAGGGACTCTCTGGAAAATTGTTATCAGTTCCAAATATGGTATGACTAATCCATGGGAAACTAGATCCCAACGTCCCCTATTTGTCTCAAGCTTATGGAAGCACATAAGTACACAATAAATGCATTCTCTGTAACGAAGATGCGGAGAACATGAACCACTTGTTCTTACATTGCAGAGTCACTAGCCAACATTGGAACCTAGTTTTTTCCATCATGGGCTTGGACTGGTGCATGCCAAGCTCTCTTCTAGCTCTCTTCTGGAGTTTTTGATGGCTTGGCAGAGAGGAGGAATTGCTAAGTCCTCCCTCCCCATGTCGAACACCATTCCTGCAGCTATATGCTGGGTAATTTCGAAGGAAAGGAACGCTAGAATTTTTGAAGATAAGAATGACAATATACTTAAGCTCAAAGCGAATTGTATATTCTTGCTTAGTTTTTGGTGCAGCATGGCTATGGCAAATGTATGGCAAATGTGTTAGAGCCTGAAGCCATGCTTGATCTTATTTTTGCATTACATTCTTTGTAAAGTTTTTTAACTTTTGCTTGTATTTCTTTTCCAGCATTTTGCTGGGTCATTTTAATATGCATTCAACAACAACAAACCCAGTGTAATTCTACAAATAGGGTCTAGGGAGGGTAGTATGTACACATACCTTACCCCTACCTTATGAAGGTAGAAATGTTGTTTTCGATAGACCCTCAACTCAAGGACAGAAGAAAAAGAAGCAGCAACAACTAGCAGTAATAACAGCAAGATAAGACGATAAGATAACCAAAACGAAAGAAACAACAGCTAGTAATAGAAATCTAAGAATAAGAAAATACGAAAATAATACTAATGCTACTGGTATGGGAAAGAGATACGCTTGACTAACTACTAACCTTCTATCCTAGTTCTCGACCTCCACACCCTCCTATCACGGGTCATGTTCTCGGTAAGCTGAAGTTACACCATGCCCTGCTTAATCACCTTTCCCCAATACTTTTTCCACCTACCTCTACCTCTCCTCAGGCCTACCATGGCCCTCCACAGCTACTAACCGGGGCATCAATTCATCTGCTCTTCGCATGTCCGTACCATCTCAGCCTAGCTTCCCGCATCTTGTCCACCACGGAGGTCATGCCCACCTTGTCCCAAATATCTTCACTTTTAATCTTAGCTCTCCTTGTATGTCCACACATCCATCCCACCATCCTCATTTCCGTTACTTATACCTTCTGGATATGGGATTTCTTGACTGACCAACACTCAGCTCCATACAACATAGTCGGTCCAACCACCACTCAGTAGAACTTATTAAGACTTTGTGTCACATTTTATCACACAAAACACTAGCTGCGAGCCTCCATTTCATCCACCCCACACTAATACGATGTGTATCATCCTCTTCAATCTCCATTACCTTGGATTACTGGACCCAGGTACTTGAAACTTCCTCTTTTAGAGATAACTTGTGTATCAAGCCCCATGTCCACGTCTGCTTCATGAGTCATATCCCTGAATTTATACTCCAAGTATTCTGTTTTGGTCCTGCTCAACATGAAACCTTTTGACTCTAGAGCTTATCTCCAAACCTCTAGCCGCGCGTTAACTCCACCCCACATCTAGTCAATCAATACTATGTCATCTGCAAATAACATACACCATTGCACCTCCCATTGAATGTGACTCGTCATTACGTCCATCGTCAAGGCAAATAAAAACGGGCTAAGAGCTTATCCTTGGTGCAACCCCATCATAACTGAAAAGAGTTCTGAGTCTCCCTGTCCTTACCCGAGTTTTAACTCTATCATACATGTCCTTAATCAGTGTATGCTACATGCACACTTCTAGCCTCCAAACATCTCCATAGAATTTCCATTAGGACTTTGTCGTATGCTTTTTCTAGATCAATAAACACCATATGTAAATCCCTCTTTCTCTCCCTATACTGCTCCACCAATCTCCTAAGAAGGTGAATAGCTTTAGTAGTTGATCGCCCCGGCATGACTCCGAACTGGTTCTCAAAAATAGACATATTCCTCCTTGCCCTCACTTCCACCACCCTCTCCTGAACTTTCATAGTGTGGCTTAGTAGTTTGATACCCTTATAGTGGTTGTAATTTTGGATATCACCCTTGTTCTGATACAACGGAATCATCATACTCCACCTCCATTCTTCGGGCATGTTCGTCATCCTAAAAATAACATTAAACAACCCAGTACTACAATTTTGTCTGGCCTGGTTGCCCTTCTTCCGCTCATATTACGCATAGCCTCCTCAACTTCCTCAACCTTTATACTCTTACAATACCCGAAATCTCAACAGCTCTCTGATTGCTCTAAGTTACCCAACACAATGTTCTTGTCCCCCTCCACGTTCAAGAGTCTATGAAGTAAGTCTGCCATTTTCGCTTAATATGAGCCTCTTCCACCCATACTTTGTCTTCCTTGTCTTTGATGCACTTCACTTGGTCCACGTCACTGGCCTTCCTCTCTCTCACCTTGGCTAGTATGTACAGCTTTTTATCCCCACCTTCGTCCCCAAGTTCTTTATACAAACGTTCAAACGTTGTAGTCTTTGTCACCGTAACTACTAACTTCGCCTCCTTCTTTGCCTTTTTATACTACTCCATATTTGTCCTCTTCTTCTCCTCGTCTTTGCTCTCCACTAGCTTCAAATATGCTGCTTTCTTGGCTTTCACTTTTCCTTGAACCTCTCCATTCCACCACCAGTCCCTTTTGTGTCCCACTAGAGTAGCCCTTCGGGACCCCCAACACCTCTCTAGCTGCTTGCCTAATGCAATTCGCTGTCGTGGTCCACATACTACTCGTGTCCCCACTACTCTTCTAAGGCCCTATTGCCAGCAGTTTCTCCCCCAACTCCTGAGCTTTGACCTTAGTCATAGTTTCCCAATTGATCTTAGGTTGACCATACACAACCCTCTTCTTTCTCTTCCTCCTAATTGCTAAGTCCATTACCAAGAGCCTATGTTAGGTCGTGAGATTCTCGCTCGAGATAATCTAGCAATCCGTACATAAACCCGTATCACTCTTCCTGAAGAATAGGTAATCAATTTGGGTCTTGGCCACCATACTCTGGAAGGTAACCAAGTGCTCTTATTTCTTCTGAAAACTCGAGTTAGCTATCACCAAAATCAAAAGCTTTAGTGAAATCCAATAGTGAAGTACCTCCTTCGTTTCTATCAACAAAACCGAAGCTGTCATGCACATTGTCATAACCCTTGGAAGTCATCCGATTGGCCATTGAAATCTCCTCCTAGGAATAGCTTCTCAGGGCGCGGAATAACACGCATCACCCCGTCCAAATCCTCTCAGAAGTGTTTTTTAACCTCTTCGTCCAAGCCCGCTTGAAGCACGTATGCAACCAATAAAGTTTAAAGTAAGCCCTCCAAAATCGTTCACCCTCCTAACCTCTATCACTAGTTCCCTAAGTTCCCTATTGACCAAATTACCTACTCCGTTCTTGCCCTTCGCACCTCCTGAGTACTAGAGTTTAAACCTATCTACGTCCCGTGCTTAGTTCCTACCCACCTAATCTCCTGGACACAGGATCTTCCTCTTCTAGATAATCTTTACTAACTCTATAGATTTTTCCGTCAATATACATTACCTTATAAAAAAAATATTACATTTAGAGAACCTCTACTTCTTTTTTTATTTATAGAAACTCTACTTTTAAAGAACCCCTAAATTGTCTTAAGACAAATTTTTTAAAATTGCAATCAAAGGGCACGAATAAAGGAAAAAAGTTACAGAAGATTCCCAAAACCGACCCAAGCTAGTAAGATTGAGGTGTAGTTGATTGAAAGATATCTATCAGAGTTCTTTTCCAAATGATTTCTCTCTCTCTCTCTTGTTGGTGTTATTATACGAGTTTTCCCATTAATAGTCTAACAATCTATAAAGCCGACAGCAGGTCAGTAAGATTGAGGTGTAGTTGATTGATTGATATTCTATTAGACTTCCTTCTCCAAATGATTTTCTCTCTTGTTTTATTGTTCGAGAATCCAGTTAGTAGTTACATAAGGATTTCCTCCACGTTTATCAGAAATTAGTTTCAACCCTCCCAATTCTGATTATGTCTAAGGTGGTAAAAAGCTAAATAAGCAATTATCAACCAAAGGAAGATCCTAAAATTGCAGTTAATCTTCGAAGTATACTGTACACCGACTTTAATATCATTTACTAACCAAAAATGTAGCATTCACACTTGTGCTATTGCCCCAATTGGAAGTCCTAGCTTAGAATTTGGTCCATCGGAGATGATATAAAATCAATCTAAATATATAGTTAACTGTGCCATCTAGGTCAGGTCACCTTGACTATTTCACTGGGTATCTAATACCTCCACCAGCACAAGTACCAGTAATTCTGCACACAAAGGTTTAGGCAGATGGAAAACAATGACCTAGTGTTTTTTTGTCTCTCAAAGGACTCATTGAGCTTTAGGCCACACCCTTGGGTGCAATCAATATATTTTAAGGAATATTAAGGAATTTCATAGATGACATCATTGAAGTAGGACCTCAAAGCTTTCTTTAGCAGAGTCCAAGGAGGGGAAAGTAAAGACGGATGTCTCACAACTTACATGCATGACAACATCTTAAAGAAAAGAAAAGTTTACTGATATAGAAACTCAGATAATTATTGCTGCAGGTAGTGGTTTACAGGTTCTCAATTGAAGGAAAGGAAAAACATAGCTAATCACAAATTCTATTCACTTCTTTACATGTAAAAATAGCGTTTTGGGGACAAAGGCACTTGTTACATTGGCAGTACTTTGTTTAAAACCACTAAGTTTCATCTATTTTTTAATTAACTGCATAATCAGTAGGCAGCCCCTTAACTTATTGGAGTTAATTAGCTCCAATATCAATATAACTTTGAGGTCCATTAACAATGCCATAGCAGAAATACAATCAATCAAGAAAGCCATATTAGTATATAAAGAACAAATACGACTAGAAAAAGAGCAAAAGAACGGCCAAACACAAGCGAGATGACAACTTTAATCCATAATGGGTCGTTTGGTTTGACAAGTTATGCAGAGATTACTAATGCAGGGATTGCAATGCAGAGATTATTTCTTGATGAAATAAATCGCCACTAAAGGAGTAGCCAACACAAAACCCACAAGCAAAATGACAACTTTAACACATAACTGAAAAAAAAAAAAAATTACCAGAAAAATGCAACTGAATAATAGTGAAAATGAACCTGTAAAGAGTGCCGTTTGATGGGTCTTTCTTGATGGCTTGAGTGTACAAAGCTGCAGCTTTGAGATAGTTCCCAGCTTTGAAGAATTCATTGCCCTGATCTTTCAGTGTTGTCTCTGCTTTGGCCTCTGATTCCCCCATTTTTGCTATCAGAAATCTTACAGCAATTTGCTGTCTTGGCAATGGAGGTTTGGGTTTACTAGGGTTTTTTGAGATCTTCTTTGTTCTGTTTCTAGTTCGACATGTCTGTTCGGAACAATCCTCCCTTTATTTTGTTACAATTCCAATTTGGCCCCCATTTCAAGAATTGCCTCATCTAGGGGCAAATTTTACAAATTCCATAACTATTGTTTAACCTTGTCAAAGAAACAAAACAAGAAGAAAGAAGAAAAACAAATTGTGCAGATAAAGAGCTAAATACATTTATTGATTTTTTATATTATATACTCATTCCGTTTCAATTTATGTGAATCTATTTCCTTTTTAGTGCGTGTCAAAAAGAATGACTCATTTCCTTATTAGGAAATAATTTATCTTTATGCAATGATTTATAACCACACAAAAATATATGTGCTTCTTTTTACACCACAAGTTCAAAAGTCTTCTCTTTTTTCTTAAACTCCGTGCCCAATCAAATGGATTCACATAAATTGAAACGGAGGGAGTATGAGGTAGTGAAACAAAAAAATTGATTGATATAACAAAAATAATACATTAGAATTGAAATTTTGAATAGTTAATAGACTTAATTAATCTTTAAATTGTTTCAAACATATCATTAGTATAAATATAAAAGGGACTTTTACATGATTATCCGGTCGGAATAAAATATTTTCCCTTCTTTATACATTTAAAAGTTTTTCTCTTAAAAAGTTACACAACAGCAGTTATATACTTTGATACCTTCATGGTATAACATATGCCAAAACGGCAATACATAATACAATTTGCCAGAACCAACTAGTACAGAGTCATAAGCTCTAAACTAAATACATAACGGGTCTCAATAAGTACAATATTGTCTGAAAGTACTACAACAGTAAGAAATGAAGAAAGGGGAGTCTCCAAGGGTCTGCGGCGTCCATGCAGCACTACCTTGAATCCTCTCAAACAGACAAAAAAGCTCACTCTCGAAGTCCTCTACCTCTAGCACTCGGAGCTGTACAAAAATATGCAAAAGTGTAATATGAGAACAGGACAATATATACTCACTAAGTATCAAGACTAACCTTAGTGAAGTAGTGACAAGGTTTAAGCCATGTGATATACACTAATCAGAGAACCTGTACAATATCTCAATTAACTGGCAACGAGAACATAACAAAATGTGGTACCATAAATACAACAAACAAGAGTTATCAACTCATCTCAGGTAAATCATATTTGACAAACCATAAAATAATTTGGACTATATTTTAATTCAAGATATATTGGTCCAACCAAATATTATGGGCTAATATAATTGAATCAATTATATAATACAATATATATATAGATTAAATAAATAAGTGATAATCCATTGGGCTAGTCCATTTAATTATGCTAAAGTGATGAGCCCGCTTCATTAAGTCCAAGATGTCATATTCCTAGAGACCCAGTTTGATGCCACGTGTCAAATGACGTGGCACGCCAAGTCAAATGGAAGAGCTAATAAGATTGTGCCACATGTTAAAATGACAAGGCATGCCAAGTCAAATTAAAAGGCCAATGAAACCGTGCCACATGTGCAAGTGACATGTTCTGGCCAATCAAATGCGACCTTATCACACTTCAATCTGATTGGTCGGAAAGAGTTTGTTCCCATCACAACTCTTCCCTCCCACAACTATAAATATGGGTCTTCATAACCCAGAAAGGAGATCAGAAGTTATAACAAGAAGACACAGGGGAGCTCGTGGATCAAAGGCCACAATTCTCTGCAAACTACAAGTGTTCAAACATTGAAGCACTTCAACACAAATTTCAAGTATTCAAGATCAAGAACGAAGCCAAATCAAATATAAGGCGTTCAAAATCAAGGTTACTTGTTCATGATAAAATTCGTGGCAACAATCAAAGTGTTCACGATGGATAAATCAAATTCAAATTCAAGATCAAGCCCAAAGACCCTTGAATTTATATTGGAAAAATAGAATCAAAGGGATCATAGAAACTGTAACACTCAAATTACTCGAAATCAAATACTACGATTGTTGTAATATTTTTCGGTCTCAATTATTTTCTTGACACAAATTTATTGTCTACAAATTCTGGCATGCCCAGTGGGACAATCTCTACCTCTCATCTCAACTTTTCAATCACCAAAGTTCAAGAACATCAAAATGGCTTCACAAATAATTAACTCCATATCAACTTCCAGTGAGACTGCTAATTCCAAGTTCTATGCTGATGTGGAAAGCATCCTCGATGTTACCTTTGGAAATTTTGGGCCAGTTACAAGGAGCAAAGCAAGCTTTTTAGGACAACAAACACTCTAAGTGTCATCCATGTCAACCCCTATTTTCGGATCTTCATCTTCAAAATGAGCAAGATCCTCTACAAGCACGACCCAAAAAGGGAACGGTGTCGCCAAAAGGATCGAAAAGGTTCTTGCCCAACTTAGTTTATCTAACTCTGAGAAACCTTTCATGCAAGCTTATGATGATGACTTGAGTGTTGGATCTAGTTTAGTCTCCATTAGTGCGACCTCCAAGCTCTATCCCAATAATGATCTATTTCATTCTCCATCCTCTACGGGCATCATGTAAGCAATGGTTATTGAAGTTTCTACCGTAGAAGAACAACTCGCAAATTTGACGAAAGCAGTTGAAGGCTTGTCAAAGCGCGTACAAGATCAAGATGATAAACTTTCCAATTTAATAAATAAGTTGGATAGCATAGTAGAAGGAGGATCCATACAAACACCTTTAAATCTTCAAAGGTTACAAGAGAAATGGGACTCCTCCGAAAAGCAACCAGCGACAACTAAGGAGATCCATGTCTCCGCTGAAGGTCTAATTCCTGTTGAGAAATCGAAGGACTTCATCATGGAGGCTATCAAAGATAAACCTGAGTCATCGTCCAAATTATCTATCACATATGCAAAGCCGTATACGTAAAGAATTGATAACTTGAAGATGCATGCTGGTTATCAACCTCCTAAGTTGCAATAATTCGATGGCAAGGGAAATCTGAAACAATATGTAGCACACTTTGTTAAAACTTGCAACAATGCTGGAACGCACAGTGATTATCTTGTCAAACTGTTTGTTCGATCTCTCAAAGATAATGCATTCGATTGGTATACAGATCTCGAACGTGGATCCATTGATAGTTGGGAGCAATTAGAATAGGAGTTTCTTAATCATTTCTATAGCACAAGACACATCGTAAGCATGATCGAACTTACAAACGCTCATCAATGAAAGGATGAGCTAGTTATTGACTTCATCAACCGCTGGAAGAGCTTAAGCCTCAACTGCAAAGATCGCCTTAGTGAAACTTTTAGCATCAAAATGTGCATTCAAGGCATGCATTGGGGTCTTCGCTATATTTTACAAGGCATAAAGCCCAAAACATTTGAAGAACTAGCAACTCGTGCTCATGATATGGAACTAAATATGACCATAAGTGCCGACTAAGGGCTACCTGTCTTTGAGCCTTACGATGAAGAAGAAGAACAAGAAGGCAGGGATGAGGGAAAGTTTTCATTCGAAAATGAAATCGAAGAGTCTATGCATGTCACTATGATTCTTAATGCATAAGCCTAAACTTCAAGTTATAATGCTCCTCAACGCACGAGCCTAAACTGCAAGTTATAATGCTCCTCAACGCACGAGCCTAAACTGCAAGTTATAATGCTCCTCAATGCACGAGCTTAAACTGCAAGTTATAATGCTCTTTAATGCACGAGCCTAAATTGCAAGTTATAATGCTCCTCAATGCATGAGCCTAAACTGCATGTTGTAATGTTTCTCAACACACGAGCCTAAACTGCAAGTTATAATGCTTCTTGGTACATGAGTATATATTGTATGTCATAAAGCTCCCCAATTCTGAACTAAATCTTTAAGGCGTAAAGCTCTTTAAATTCGAACAAAGTCTTCAAGTTGTAAAGCTTTTCAAATTTGGGCAAAGTGTTCAAGTTGCAAAGCTCTTCAAATACGAGCAAAGGCTCAAGTCGAAAGCTCTTCAAAGTCGAGTAAGGATTTCAAATCGCAAAGTTTTTCAAATTCGAGCCAAACTTCAAAACATAAAGCTCTTCAAATTTGGCAAAGTCTTCAAGTTGTAAAACTCTTCAAATTCAAGTGGAAATTCAAGTTGCAAAGCTCTTCAAAATTGATCAAGTCTTAAAGTTGCAAAGCATTTCGAATTGTAAGCTAAATCTTCAAATTACAATGCTCCTGGATGCACGAGCCTAAACTGCAGGTCATAAAGCTCTTCAAATTCGAGCAAAATCTTCAAGTTGCAAAGCTCCTTAAAACATGAGCTTAAATTACAAGTCATTATGCTCCTTGACGCATGATCCTAAACTGTATGTTGAAATGCTCTTTAACACACAAGCCTAAACTGCAAGTTATAATGCTTCGTGGCGCATGAGCCTAAACTACACGTTGCAATGCTCCTCAGTGCACGAGCCTAAACTGCAGGTTATAATGCTCCTCAACGCACGAGCCTCAACTGTAAGGTGTAATGCTCCTAAACGTATGAGCCAAAATTGCACGTTGTAATGCTCCTTAACGCACGAGCCTAAACTGCAAGTTATAATGCTTCTTGGCACATGAGTATATATTGTATGTCACGAAGCTCCCCAATTTTGAACTAAATCTTTAAGACGTAAAGCTCTTCAAATTCGAGCAAAGTCTTCAAGTTGTAAAGCTCTTCAAATTCGAGAAAAGTCTTCAAGTCGTAAAGTTTTTCAAATTTGAGCAAAGACTCAAGTCGAAAGCTCTTCAAAGTCGAGCAAAGAGTTCAAGTTGCAAAGCTTTTTAAATTTGAGCCAAACTTCAAGATGTAAAGCTCTTCAAATTCGAGAAAAGTTTTCAACTTGTAAATCTCTCCAAATTCAAGCAAAGTGTTCAGGTTGCAAAGCTCTTCAACTTTGAGCTAAATCTTCAAGTCACAAAGCTCTTCAAATTCGAGCTGGAACTTCAAGTTGCAAAGCTCTTCAAAATTGAGCAAGTCTTCAAGTCGCGAAACATTTTGAATTGTAAGCTAAATATTCAAATTACAACACTCATAGACGCACAAGCCTAAACTACATGTTATGAAGCTCTTCAAATTTGAGCAAAATCTTCAAGTTGCAAAGCTCCTCCAAATACGAGCTTAAATTGCAAGTCGCTGCGCTCCTTAATGCAAGAGCATA